CTCCTTCTTCAGCAGCTGGTTTCTCGGCAAGGAAGGGTTTCAGGTCAAGGCCTTCTTGAGTGCGGAATTCATTTATTTCTTCGAGGCAGTTATCTTCATCTGGTTTATAACACCACCGACAGTACCGCACATCACAGGTGCGCCTGCTTAACAGTAGCCATCTACTGCTTGCCTTCAGGCACTAAGTGGTGCTTTCTGGAGAGCTCGCGTTCACCAACACCAAGGTTAAACTGCGCTTCTCTACGGAATATCTTGCTTCAACAGCCAGGCAGCACCTGCCATCGTCTCAGAAATTTTACGCTGCTGTGGACGTGTGGCAGTCCCATACCGCGTTTTGTAAGTTCAGCCTCCTTGTCATCACTCTCGTCACCTTCTCCGTTCTTGAGAGCCAAAATCTTATTCCATGTATCTGCGCTGTATACACACAAAACGTCACATCGCTCTACCGCATGGGTGCCTGCATGATTGGGCGTGAGGCCAACGCTCTCTACTCTTAGACAGGCTCAGCTCATTTATCAGCAATTTCCGGGACCAGAATTTGGGTAGATAGCACAAATGCTCGGACAGTATGTATCTACAAGCATACGGGTACAGAGAGAAACATAACAGTGGATCCAAATAAGTCGGATTACTTGCCGTTCTTAAGTTTATGTTGACAGCATCAAAGATATACACACAGGGATGCAAGTTGTTTTGCCGTAGAGTTTATTCGGCAAGTTTCAACGCTCACCTGATGGGTTGGTCATTTTCCACTAAGGTTTCCTCTGAAAGGAAGCAGATAACAGCTGCATTGTCACAGCCCGTAGCGTTATAGCACCTCATCTCGCGGGTGCCATCAACCATCATAGAAGCGAAACCCGCCACTGCATTGTCGTAGTAAATTGTGCCGTCAATTTCGTCAGTGCGCTTGGGCTGTTTTATAGTAAAAGCCGGCGGGACCTCGGTGCTGCAGGCAGTGTTCGGCATCGAACATTTACCAATGAGAGCTTGTGGAGATTCGGAAAGTTGCTGGTGCATAAGGGCGAAGGAAAAGTGGCTCTCCGCTTGCCGTATTGCGAGTGGCATTCACAGAGTTTTCGTTTACACGTCCTCCTCATGAGTCAACACGTTCCTGGATTGTACAGTCTGCGCTATGGATCATATTCTGATATTCTGAAATTGTTCTCTGCTGTCGTAGGGTGCGCGCAGACCCAAGCTTAGTGAATCCGCTCTCCCAGAATTCGACTGCTTCTTTCGCTGTTGGGGGGACTTCCCCTGCTTTAATGGCGTAGATGAGAGTGTATCCCTTAGCAACCTGATCATCGATTACAGCAGCGCGCACCACCCACTCAATTCAGATGATGCTGTGCAACTTTCGGCAGAGCTACACGGCTGGCTCGGCCCTCAGTTGCCGTGGTTTCCTGCTTTGCTTGCGGTGTATGTGGGTGGGCGGGTGTGAGTTTCAGATTGGCCCAGCTTCAGTGGACTTGGTAGACTCCCCTGCGAGTCGTTGGTGTTCGAGTAAACGCTTACATTTGGATGGATTGTTGAATCCTCTATATCTTCGCATTTCAGGTTATACAACGCCTGCTCATAAGCTTTGGCACTGCTAAGCGCATTTCTCCTTTTCCTGGTCTCCGTGTCCACTGGAGCAGTGAATTCGGTAAGGCCGAGCCCCTCGGCAGTACGCACAGCATTGACGGCATCCAAGTACTCTTTTTGGCCATCACCTTCAAAAGAAAGGAGCACGACACATTTACTCAGCAGCGCGATTCACAGTCCACCTCACTCTGGCTGCTTCCTACTGTTTGTATATGAGGTATCAACGATGCAAGCTTGACCCACCGTGAGCCTCCAGCTTGGGCTTCACACCTACGCTTGCCTCAAGCTTGTGCCACATCTGGAGACTGCAGAAATTTAACAGACACACGGCTAATGCGGTACAGCTGCTCTGCCCTTTTGTGGTTGGCAACTCCGAGAGAAGTTTCGTTTCTTGAATTCAAAGTTCCGTGTTGTTTTAGCGCGCGTGCTTGGTTGTTTGATCGCAGCGCAGGCTCGTATTTCAATTCGCAAAAAGAATTTCTAGATTTTTCTCCTACAAGAATACACTATAGCCTCGGGAAACTGCACTAAGAGGTGCCGTGCACTCACGTCACAGGATGCGTCCCTTGAGTTATGCCAGCGGGCTTGATATAGCATACAAGGCTTCCCGGCTCACAGCCGGTTGGAGTGCCGCAGTAAATAATCTCCGGGTCCTCACTCAATAAGCTGACAAGCGCTACAGCATTCTGGTTAGTGTAGGGTGCTTCATCTTCCTTGAACACTGCAGGGTATCCGCCCCTAAAAAGAGACGCAGAAGGCATTACATGCCATTACTTGTCGTGATACAACCATGTCTAGGCTACGCAAAAGACCGTCGTCATTTTGCCGTTTAGTTTTTGTGCTTACAAGAAGGCTGAATATCCTTGTTTCCATAGTTGAAGGGCTTCGTCACAGGTCATTGCGGTCCTTACGGCAGCAGATGACCGTGTGGCTGAAATGACAAACGCTCCACTGTCGTCTTCCCCCTGAAAGAAGCCATCCCAAAACGCCCACTTTATTTGTTTATTTTTGTGCTCCAATTAGAGGTTATTCATGTTCAATGGGTAGGAGGCATTCGCTTCGTGCGTTTAAGGCCACGGTACCTGCTGCTTGACCTACAATTATGTGTTTAAAATTCCCGGACTTGAGAGCTTCACATGTCGTTGTAAGGAAGGTCGCAACATCCGTTCCTGGCTGTGCCTCTCCGTTTGGTATGTATTCTTTTGCTTTGGGATCCACATCTCTCCGCAACTTGTTTATTTCAACTGTGCAGTGCTGGGCGCCTGCTGAATGCAGAAGCAGTACTCGAACCCCGCACTACAGTTAGACTTCTTCTCTATTGCATCAAGTTGCTGTGCACGGTGAGGTGAGATACTGGTTCTTGAACGATTGTGGCCACTGTATGCGAAACGTGTCGTCGCTTAGGGCTGTGGCTTGGTGTTTCTGACGTCGTTTTCAGCAGTTTTACTTGCGCGCAGCCTGGCTCCTGATGTTCACGTGAGCGCTTAACAGTTGTCTACACTGTTTTTGCATTCATCTAAAGGAGTTTCGGGTATGATGTCACGTGGAGTTGCCTTGCAACAGAGGCTACAGCAATGAGTGCAACTGCCAACGGAAGAATCTGCCTACTTTGCGCACCAGGCACACGCCCTTGTTCCGGGGTGCCCTGGACGCCTCGAGACTGGAAGAAAGGCTTGAGCTACTAACATTTTTTTTGTATTTTGACTCGATTACAGCTTGCAGGGGTCCTCTGGTAAGATCTACGACTCTTGATATAAGGGTTGTATGGCTATCCTTGGGTCGAGTAGGTAACGGGCAGTGGCAGCCTCGCTGCAGAGCTTGTTGCAACCCACCTAACTCAGTCAGCCCAGTTACAGTACCGCTACTTGTGCGAACATTCTGGAATGTTGTTCTGCCTTGACCGTTGGCATCCGCAAAGCTCCCCTGAGCAATNAAAAAATTTCTCTTTAAAATATTTTTGAGCCTTTTTATTTGGAATTGAGCCACCAGCCACCGCACCAACCACCAGCGCTGCGCTTGCACACCTTGCTGTAACTCCTAGTGGAAGGCAGCCCCACAGTGGATGCATTAAAGGGGGCTTAGTTATGCATGCAAGCATAAAAAATGTCCTTTTTAATGTATTTACTAACAAGGTAGCCAATCATTACACAGATAAAGTTGCACTCATACGCATGAGCCGATGTGCAGATAACTAGGAAAACAAGAAAAACTTCAGATCGGCTTACAAAATTCATGGATCTGCACAGGCTAGATGATCTCTTACTAATTAGATGCCTTTCTGTACTATATTTCTTAGCCTCATCGAAATATTCAATTGCTCGTTTGTGCATTCTGTTAACAACGGAGCAACAAGGGTGAACATCGATGTTATATGATGTTGCCGGTGGGGGAGATGCGTAAGAAGACGCTGCAGTGTGTATCAGATCAGCGCCAGCGTCTCCGCCTCTCATTCTTATGACTTTCATTAGGCTGTTGTGCTTTAGTAGTTGAGAATAATCCGTTAATAAGGCTTCTCGTGACGACCCCGCAATCTTGTGCGGCTTACGATTACCTTTAACAAGGACAAATAACCCTAATTGTTGCATTNTGACGACCCCGCAATCTTGTGCGGCTTACGATTACCTTTAACAAGGACAAATAACCCTAATTGTTGCATTGTTGTGTAGTTATTGGTTGTTCAGACGGCCTCTGGAGATGCCACTGATACCAGAGAAAAGAATTGCATCCTTAGATATTCAAGCTTCCCGAGGTTTCGTGTTGAGATCTCAGCCTGTGCCCCCTCAAGGCGAGCATTGTTCATGAATACAGTGACACAGGTGACAGTAATGCATTTTGCATGTATCGTGGGTCTGTCTAAAGTAGGTAAATACATCTACATACACCTAGATACTGGCTAGTTGTGGCCTGACGAGCGTATGCGGTTCGGTCATGTGGTTATGACATTGTCTAAGACGGAGAAGCTGTAGTGCTGGGTGCTGCATATCCGGAGGAGCTGCTTCCCCTCCTCCCGGATATCGGTAGGTAGATATATAGGTAGATAAAGATATAACAGCATTACTCTTTAACTCGCTGACACCACAGAGTAATGGCAAAATAAAGTTACTGAGGGTATGGATGGTGATATTTCAGGAAGGCTCATGAGAGCTCGCGGAATTCGAGTGAGATGAAATGATAAAGGGGTATTAATTCACGGTTCGTTCTAACGATTTCTTACATATTATTATGCTGTACGATTAGTTGATATATAAGCTAGCTGTTAAAGTATAAAGCACACCACCACATCCTCAGACTGCTCCATGGGTGGATTTGCCAGCATATCGTTTCCCGGTTGTTCCATGCCCAGATCACACGCAGATTTATCTCTACTTATTCAATTGCAGGGTCGTGTTTGTTGCCTCTTAGTTTTCGTTCTATTCACCATCCCTATCAGCTACATTAGCCGGAGAATATGTGGATAACTTGTATAAGTGCAGGGGCTTAGCCACGTCCACGTGTCTGGCGATTTCAAAGGGCTTCTAGAGTGAAACTTCAGAATAGCTATCAATAAGGTAGAAATCTCATGTACCTTTCATAGGTCGTTCTTTACAACTACAGAACATCCTGCTAACCCCATACTGTGCTAATACTTTGCAGAAGGTCGCCGAGTTGCCAGCTCTCAGGTGATCTAAACTGCAGCGATCCGAGTCGGCGCAATATCTCACAGACGCAGTACATCAATGAAGGACAAGTTTCTAAAATCATACCCATATGAGGAGTTGTGTCAGTTCAAAATGTTTTAATTGGATGACCAGGCTAGCAAACAAATCCCACGGAGTCTCAACTGGCCCATATCACAGACTGTATATGGGCTGGTTATGGGCTGCTTATTGCTCAGCTCAGCTGAGGGTTGACGACGCTTAGAAGTTGAGGGCAAAGAGACCGATAACGAGAAGAGCACTGCTCAGGAGCGCGC